GACGGCAGGGGTGAAGGCAGGCAATGTCCGGGGGGAGGGGGACGACGACGAGGCATCGGTGAATAGGGTGCGCCAGCGGAATACGCGGGAAGGAATGGAGGCGGCGGCGAAGCTGTGGGTGGATGACCTCCGCTTCTGGAACGAAAGAGAGGGATTTGCCATCGTGAAGTTGATCGTGGAGGCGCGCGGGTATCTTGTGGCGGTGGCGCGGGGAGAGCAGCCTCCGCCCATTCATCGCAGCATCGTCTTGCCTCACAACAACATCCCGCAGCAGAAGATCGCGGACGAGTCGGAGTTCAATGCTGCGAAGGAGAGGGCGGTGAAGGTTCAGGGGATCGCTTTGCGGGTGATACACGGGTGGGTCTTCAAGTCTCAGAACAGGCAACGGGGGTACCACGCGGCGTACCAGTACGCACTGAACCACGTGGCCACCGACATCGCTCGTGCGATGTGGTTGGGGGAGGACTGGCGTTATTGTGTGAGCCCCATGGTCATCCACCACACGCTTGACATGGATATGAAGCTGCCATTGTGGTTCGTGGGCGGCGACGTTGAAGATAGGCACGAGGACGACGACTTGGCGGCTTATCAGGAGGCGAGCATCCAGCGACTGGTGGGGGCTTTCACGAGCGCCGTGATCATTGCGGAGGCGACGAACGGCGGCCGTGTATCGCACGAAAGGTTGAAGACCATGGCCGACGCGATGCGGATGATGCTCAAGGTGGCCATGTGGCTCATGCGGATGGCGGGTGACGATCATCGCGCGCATTACGGCGCCTGGGTTTTTGTCCAACTCACAATGAAGTCGACGCTCGTCGCATCCATGCATTGCTGCTTCGACGCGCGTCGGCATATCGTGCAAGCTGCGACCGTCATCACCGACAAGTTGGCGAGTCCCCCCATCACTTTGATCGACCCTCCAATGTATGTTCCCGACTGGGCGTCCATCGGTGTCAAGTTCTCACACGACGCCACGCTGTCTTCCTCGATGGAGGCGAAGAAGGTGGATTGGTTGGGCACAGGACCCCCGGAAGACGAAGACGACGGGAAAGGCGACGAAGAGGGAAGCGGGGGGGGTCGCTGACGCGTTTTCGTCGTTTATGTTGTTTTTCCTCGCGTTATGCTGCTCTGCTGTCTCTTGTTTTTCGACGGCAGACCCACCATCATCCCCTTTCTTGACATACATCATGGGTGGCAGTCCGATTTCGTAGCCGCCACCGTGAGGTCGCGAACAAGCGGGATGGTGGTGGGTGTGGCGTGAAGGGAGGTTGTCGCCGAGGAGTTCTCGGTGGTGAAGATGGTAAAGATGGGAGAGA